ACCACTGTGGCCATCCTGTTCATCCAGCGTAGGATAAACCGCTCTGTCTGTAATTTTGACAGTCATGCATACATAACCGCATACTGCAGCTAAGAGTTCACAGTGCCAGAGTACAGCAATGGAAAATAACTCCTTCACGCTGATGCTTTTTTGAAATTTGTTCTCCAGCACCCATTAGTGCTTAGCATAAAGACCCCCAGAATTATTTCCGGTTTAGAACTCGCCACATAATTTGTGCGTATTTTGGTCAAAACCATCAAACACACATGACAGGAAGAGCATTTTGGCTTTGCACCCACTTCTGGAAAGCACTGGAGTCCTAGACGGATGCTTACAAAGACCTACAATACCACTCTCTCTATAAGGGATTTTCTGTGCAGCAAAGGAACAGTCAACAGTTGACATGGACCTTGGCACGGACCCAACAATCAGGAAATAAGGCCAACAGGGGTCCTCTAATAGCTAGCCTGCCATTAGGCATCTGCTGCTGGTCTTCACTGCTGACGGCATTATCTGACCGGGACAGATTTAAGCTGTGATACAAAGGCCTCAGCCTACCACAAGCATGTCTCCACCTTGCACAGTCTCAGAGCAGTGCAGACCACACTAAAACACATTCAGGCCTCCACCTCTCCCTGTAAGTTTTATGAAAGAACAGAAGAGGCTCTGACAGTGGCATGAAGCCAGAACATTTATTAAAACAGGCAGGTAATCCTCCCCCTAACACCTTGGCTACTGTGCAAACCTCTGCTGAACACAGCCAACCAGCCTGTCACTTTGCTGCTCTACCCTCACTCCTTTTTCCAACTTTTTATAATTGCTGACACCATCCTGAATTGCACTAGTACATAGCACTAAATTATTCACTCCTTTACATACCATTTACCTTATTAATGACGTTGTAAAAACCAGAAGTGATGGGAGAATCCCAAATACAGTGCTACAAGCAAATGGACTAACCCATAGACCCAGACCAATGCCTTGCAGTCCCGTAAATTTGACTTATACATTGCATCCTTTCCCTGACCGGGTCCTTCTATGGGAATCTCCTCACTACGGTCGTTGCACCGTGTTTCCTAGTGTTCCCTCTCTGTTTGCATTCTAAAGGTCATCTGTGAGGCAGTCACATAATCACCCCTTGGATGCAGGACAACTGCAACAACTGATTTGCTCTGAACTGAGTGTTACCGTGCTCCCACCCTGCATAACATAGGATCACAGAATTGCCTAGGTTGGAAGGGACCTTTAAGATCATCAAGTCCAACCATCAACCTAATACTGACAAAACCACCACATGTCCCTAAGCAGCACGTCTGCCCCTCTTTTAAATACCCCCAGGGATGGGGACTCCACCACTGCCCTGGGCAGCCTGTTCCAATGCTTAACAATCCGTTCTGTGAAGAAATTTTTCCTAATATCCAATCTAAACCTACCCTGGCGTAACTTGAGGACATTTCCTCATCCTATCACTTGTCACTAGCGAGAAGAGGTCGACCCCCACCTCACTAAAACCTCCTTTCAGGTAGTTGTAGAGAGTGATAAGGTCTCCCCTCAGCCCCCTTTCCTCCAGGCTAAACAACCCCAGTTGCCTCAGCCGCTCCTCATAAGACTTGTTCTCCAGACCCCTCACCAGCTTCATTGCCCTTCTCTGGACACACTCCAGCAACTCTATGTCTTTCTTGTAGTGAGAGGCCTTTGCCTTCTTAGCCACCTCAGCACACTGCTGGCTCATACTCAGCAAGCTGTCAACCAACACCCCCAGGTCCTTCTCTGCCAGGCAGCTTTCCAGCCATTCTTGCCCAAGCCTGTAGCACTGCATCGGATTGTTGTGACCTAAGTGCAGGACTCGGCACTCGGCCTTGTTGAACTTCATACCACTGGCCTCGGCCCATCGACCCAACCCCCCCAGATCCCTCTGTAGAGCCATCCTACCCTCAAACAGATCGACACTGCTGCCTAACTTAGTGTCATCTGCGAACTTACTGAGGGTGCACTCGATCCCTTCATCCAGGTCATTGATAAAGATATCAGAGAGAACCGGCCCCAGTACTGAGCCCTGGGGAACACCACTTGTGACCGGCTGCCAACTGAATTTAACTCCATTCACCACCACTCTCTGGGCACAGCCATCCAGACAGTTTTTCACCCAGCAAAGAGTACACCCATCCAAGCCATGAGCAGCCAGTTTCTCCAGGAGAATTCTGTGGGAAACACTGTTGAAGGCTTCACTGAAGTCCAGGTAAAAAACATCCACAGCTTTTCGCTCATCCACTAAGTGGGAACATCTACCTGGGAACTATACCTACATAGGAACTGAATTCTTCTCTGTACCAAGAAGGGTGCCAGTCCATATATATTCTTATAGATATTCCCTATATATTCTCATGAGCAATTGAAATACTTAGTTTTAAAAGTTTTATGAAGATGGGCTGATTTTTAGACTCTCCTGACCCTGATTTCATAGCATCAGCTGGTTAGAATTGGACAAAATAAAACACTGTCCCCTCTAAGACAAATCGCCCCGCTTTTTTAATCAGAATTAACTTCAGTGCTAATACTGTAACTAGCTCTCTGCAAATGGATTTGGCTTCAAAGGGGCTCTGCCTACACTGAGCTAACTGCACAACAGAGGCTAATGGTTAAAGCAAGGACCTTTGGAGGCTACTGCTTCTTGTTGTACTGGGCTCGTGTTCCCTCTGAATGCCAAAGAGTAACAGATTATCTAAAGTACATCTACATCTCTCCTTTTGTGCAGTTAAAATGTTAATGTTGCTATATACTAAAGAAAAAGGAGCAACAAAAAAAGCTGACTATTAAACAGAACAGGCTTGCACTCTCTGCAGTATCTATACCTCAGCGGGATTTCATGTACTAAAGCTGATACACACTGGGAAAGCCTTTCTCCGTACAGAAGTGCAGTCCATTCAGTGACATGAGCTCTTTTCTCACCAACAAAACAAACCTTGAGATCTTTGCTTGCTTCCCCCTCTTCTAGTCTCTATGTCCTGCTGTGTTTTTATTTTAGAAAAATAGTTTCAGTTCTCCTCATAGACAGCCTGCTTGAATGTTACGATAAATTTAAACTTGGACTTTGCAATTTTCATCTGTAGCATCATGATGCAAAAGGAGCCTCTAAAAGTGTTACATCTGACATTTCTATTCCTTTTTTTTCAAGTTTATGCTTAAATAATGATTCTTCATCTCAAAATTCAGCCAATTTATGGTGATCATCCCCGAAACAACTATAGAGAGCCGTGTTGGAGGGAGAGGGATAAGAGAGGAGAGAGCAAAGCAAAATACTCTAATTTTTGATACTGCTGTTTAGTTTTAGAAACAGATGAATTTCCTCTTCACTCTCCTTAACGAGTCTAACATTTTCAGCTCCCCTTACCAGCCTTCTTAGGATGTTAACAGTCCCGTCCAAAATCTTTTATTTTTTGCAGCGGTGCACATTCAGGACACCCTATGCTCATTTCAGACAGATATATATTTGGACTATAGGCTTCACTTACAGTGCCAAGTATTTTCCCCCATCTTCTAAACTTGCCTTGCAAAGTAAGTTAGTTATCTTCTCTATTAAATAATTAGCATTGGGGTACCTGATAACCCTAGGTATTAACAAGGTGGAGGAAATATTTAAGGTATTACACAAAAAGATGTACCTAGGAAGACTTTGACTAAATGCTCCCCAAAATCCTTACACTGAATACATCACGCTAAAAAAGATTTAAGCTTTATCGCCTTTATCTTCTTCTGTACTGAAAAGTGCTATCATAACAAATTATCTTGTAAAAGCTAGAACTGTATTATATGATTATAAAGGTCTTTGCTATTTTCTGGTATCCATGATAGGAATTCTCAAACTGGAGCCATACAGCCTGCAAACTGGCTGGAGAGCTTGCTGGGCCCCTGACTTACCACTTCCCATTTTCAACCAGTGAATTGCACTAAGAAATTCAGGTATTTAATACTTTCCTAATACTGCTTTCCAATGCAGGAAACTGCTGTAAACATTCAAGGAACTATATCCTCTTGTCAATAAAAGACAAGGTCTGCCTAACGGTAATTGTGAAGGTAGGTATTAACAAAATTATTTTCTTGGTCAGAAAAGCCTAATAATCAGCAAATCAAAGGAAATATTTTCTCTTCCATGGGTAGTCCAGAAGTCCTAATACTACTACACCTTTTCCTACGTACTTAAAATGTACTGAAGAATTTTCTTGCCTTGAATATCACTCGCAACTGTCCAATCTTGAGAGTCTTAAGCTGAATTAATTTAGAAAGAAAACAGTGTGGTTTCAAACAGCACACTGCACATGCAAAAAGAACAGCTAAAATCAAGCATTTCCAGTTCCAATTTTTCAGACGAGAAGATGAAGACAGTGATGCTAACGACTTATCTGACGTACAGGATTAGCAACAAAAGAGCAGAGAGTGTGCCTCCAAACTACGAGGTCTGGCAATGGGGATATACCATACTCTCAACTCTCCATCTGCCAGACATTCAACATGTGCTCTATCAGACCAACCATCTGAGACCCACTGATCAGTCCAGCATCTGCCGTCCTGACTCCAACTGAAGCTTTACTGACCAACAGTTGTGTTGAAAAAGCAGCTTCAGAGTCATAGCAAGGAAAGTCCAAGTACCAGAATCTGATCTTCAGGCAAATGGACATCCATGCAGAATGCTGTTCTTTTTACTATTCCAACGTAACTCTGAATATTAAGGGTATGCTGGCACACACGGCTTTATATGTTAGGGTGAGCAATGACAAACTAGATACATGACTGCAGATGGCCCTTCAGAGTTAAATCTGACTTGACTCAGGAGCTAGCTCGAAGTTTGAAAACAAGATGCCAACAACATATTTATCTTTGATGTTTGTCCAGCATTAGCAAAACATGCTTCTAAATATATAAACTGCAACATAGTGAGCATACTGAGCATCTTTTGCATTCAAAAAATGGTTGTGTAAGAGGCTGCAGTTTTTTTGACTTACCAGGAGATGGCGGCTGAATCTTAGGTTGTTTCTTAGTATCGCCAGTGCTAAAGACTTCTGGAGGGGGCTCCTCCCCTCGCTCAATCTTGCACTCGAAGGCAAACAGGTACTGAATGTATTGTTTTTTCAGGGAGCTGGCTGCGCTGCTTGAAGTGCCAACGTTCAAGGTGGTTGCCAGCTCACGCCACTTCTTGTTTTTATTAACCTAGCAACATAAATGGCAGAATCATTGGTTTGCAGCAAAGTAGTTTGTTTAAGTCAGGAGACAAAAAAGGCAAAAAAAAAGGCAAAAAAAAAAGCACTCAATGTCTCGGTTTACTTTTTTTATTTTCCTCTTTTAACTAATGCTTATTCCTCCCACACGCAGTAATGCATAGACCACATTTACAGTTATAAAACCATTAAGGAACCTGCTGATAGCTACATAAAAAGCTTTGCTTGTGGAGAGTCTTCTGCATGGTGCATCTTTTAAATGCCTTGCACTCTTCCAGGGCCTACGCTCTTCAGTTAGCAATCCATCTCCAAGCAAATGCACGCTCATTGTCCTTCTCTCTGACTCCCACCCACACCCACCCCATTCTAATTAAAAAGCAGCTTCTAAAAACTAATTTAGAAAGCAATAACAGCGTTATTCTGCAATTTAAGTGTTTGAGCTTTGATATGAAAAATACGTTTTTCTCAAAAATAGCCACCAGCTATTTCAAACAGTTCAGCCTATAATTCCTGGCCATGTTCTTTCGCTTTAGGGTGTCTTGCAGGGACAGATCAATGATCCTTTGGCTAGATGAGAGGCAGAGTGAAGCGAGGCCCCTTAATTAATTAAGGCAGACTTCAAACACACAGGGCTAGTCCAGCAATACTCTCTATTACAGTGCTGACTGCACAACTCTGCTGCGAGTCTTGTTTGCAGTGTAAGGCTGGGAATATTGAAAGACTGTTCACGAGTTCCTCAAACGCAGCTGATCGGTAATAACAGTGAAGTTCATTTGTCATCCTGGCTGATGCCACTGGCTCGCTCAGCTCTACCACTCATAGCAACCCATATTTTTGCTGTAATACCTGATGCTCAGAGTTCATTCAACCACTTGTGCAATTGCTAGGTATGATCCAAGGAGGGGAGGCAGCGCTGGAATAAATGGGCTTTAAATGTCTGAGCATCTCAGCTTTTGTTGGGAAGAATGCTGATTCTTGAGTGCCATGGCGACTTCTGCTTGCCCTGAGGTTTTAGTGACTACAACTTTACCTGTATAGCTACAAAGGTTATCATTAGCCGCCATACTGTTCCTAAGCCTGCGGGCCAGCAAAGGAAACATTTCTTACACTTCTGTGTTTAATAACACCGTGACTGCTGCCAGTCAGCAAAGATCTTTTGGGGACAGCACTAATAGGAAGCAGGTTGGCATGGGTATGTAAAGTGTTTTTATTTCTCTGGTATATCCTGCAAGAGCCAGGAGTTAAAGGAGTCAAGATTTTCATAAACTGCCCTGGTTGAGGCTGGAAATCCAGTTACACAGCCCTTTGTGCCTACTGACTTAGAGCTAAGTGGTGCGTAATGAACACATTGCATAATGCAAACAGAAACATTCATGCCTAAATGCCCAGTATATTGGCATTTAAAATAAGACTGCCAACAGCTGGTCTGTTCATGTTGGGACCCCATCAATTGCAACTGTTCAGACAGAGAATATGAGCCGCTGCCGTACAGCTCCGCTCCCTGTCACTCTCTGGGCAGAATCATGAGATGTGGAGCGCAGCAGTTGGAGCAACAGCTTTTGAGGAGAGCATCACACAGATGCATTTAAATAAACCTCAGCAAGCAAAGCTCTGCACCTCTCAGCAGCCTCAAACAGATAAATATGGTGATCACTCATGTGGGCACACCAGCAAACCCAGGAGCCTTTATTTTCAGTGTCAATTTTTACCAGTACTGAAGCATTTGTAACTCAACCTCTTTCAAAAATCTGTCTAAGTGAACAACATCTATTCTTTGGCAATACACAATGTCTGTCATTGCAAATCAACACTGTGTGTCCCAAAAGAAAATAGATTTCCATAACAAGAAAACCCGAATGACTCTCTAGAATACCCCATCTGCCCCCCATCTTGCTTAATTTTTGATGCTAAGAGTCATACTATGGGCACGATCACTCTGTATGAGGCAGAGCAGCTGCATGATATGATTTACCTGTAATAAAGTTTCTGAGCTAAAAGTAATCAAATCTTTATGATGCTGGGGGGCACGAGCTGATCACTAAAAATGTCAGGATAACATCTCTTACCCATATACAGCATTTAACAACTGGCAAGGTGAACTGTATTAGGTTTCTCTGCCTTCCTTTAATAACAGGAATAGCTAAAATCTCTGGACCTGAAGGGCCAACGATCTAATTCAGTAGTCAAATCCTATGTTATGAGGTGTACTATTCAAAATAACATTGAAAATGGTGCTAATTGATGTTGGACATTTTTTTTTTTAACTAATAACATAGATTATTGAAACGTGCCCTCTTTCTGAGGTTTTAATTTGTTTGCCATATTTTTTGAGTTCAGATTTTGTAATCAGTGTAAAACTGTATCTATTTAAATATTAAATATTATCTATTTAATATTAAATATTGCATATACATATTTATCTACATAGCTTTGTTTAAGATCTCATCTTGCAAAGCACTGAACATCCATGAACATTCTTAATTCAACAGAAATTATGGGTCTCGGCACTTCACAGTAGCTTCTAGCACCTAGCCAGACTGACCCCCTGAATGCAAGGGATGCTTTGTAAAAGCATCAGGCAAGGACAGACAACTTCAAATACCAAATCTAAGGCGGCAAATACTGACCATTTTCTCCTGCTTTCCCTTTTGATGGTACCAGACAATGAAACATTTAGTTTTGCTCTGTGATTGTCAGTCTTACAGAGCTCACAAGTAATTTCCAAACATCCCTTTGCAAAACTTCCAGTTAACTGGTGAGAACATAAACCACAGCTTGTCTCTCCCATCTGTGACTTTTTTAGTCTCAGCTCTTCCTGCTTTCATTTTCCTTAGCTCAATTAAGTAATTCACCTTTTCCTTGTAACCATTATGTTTTTAAGGCAACCCAAAACACCCTGGGTAAGCATTTTCCAAACACAGGGAAAGCACAGTCTGTGTCTATTAAACAAAGGTACCATACACAGACACGCTGAGATGAAAGATTTGGGACAAAGGACTGTGTTTCAAGAATATATCTGCCACTTGTCTGGAGAGATGAACTGTTTTGTCATAGAGGCAATATCCTTATTTGCGAAGGATAGATTTCAAAATCTCCTTTGCCTTTTAGCTTTATCATGTGTTTCTTACCCGTAACTTTGATCCAATGGCCTTTTCCTCTTTTCTTCTCTTAGTGGCATTACTGGATCCCCCTGAACAGGTAACAATTTCATCTGTCTATAGCAATGGTCAATTTTGTTTCAAACTGTAGAGTTTTAGGGCAATTATGCAGCCCAGGCAAATACTAAAGCACGAAACTATCTTCTTCAACAATGTTGTCAAGGCTGAAAATGTAATTGTGTAACCAGCAGGAAATACTCTAGAAAAAAATGCGTATTGCCTTTTCAAAAGGTTCACTTTCAATCACATCTTCTCACCTGTGCTAAACCTCCAATCTCTTTGACGCAGACATAGAGCCTGAACAGGTCCAGGGGCTTCTTGCCCACAGCTGGCAGACTGGCCACAGGTGTGCCCCTCTCCTCCATGAACGTGAGGTACCGATCCACCCACATCTTGCGCTCCGGCTCGTTTCCTAGTTCATAGACTTTTGTGATCTTCTCTCCAGTTGTGGTAGAGGAACTTGATTTCTAAATCGCAAGAAGAAAAAAAAAGAGTTGGGGAAAGGGTGGGAGGGGGAGGGAAAAGAAAGTAAGAAACTCACAACATTGAAAAAGAGAAGATGTCAAACAAACTAAAGCTATCACACAACAGTCAGGAATGAAGGCTACTAGTTCAGGCACAAACAGTACATTCTGTCCATATACGGAAAATTCAGCTTTTTAAATAAAGGGCCCAAACTCCCCATTTTCATATTTCTTTCACTGATCTGAACTTTGGATCCCAGAAGGCAAGTTTCTGATGTTGCCTCATGTCATTTTAAGAGGAGGTAGCTCTCACATAGCACTTCTCATCCACTTATCTCAAAGTGCTTTGTAAGCAATAATTTGAGTAAAATTAAAAACAAGTTTGTCCCACACAAGTTTACATAATCCTAAAACCAAACCAAAACAACCCTCTCCCCTTTGCCCCCCAAAAGGGGCTAGAAAACCTGAAAAGTGTTCCTCCAGAACAGGAATTGCACAAAAGCAGCCTAAGGCATGAATCATGGCACACTAGCACACTGAGGAGTAGTACTCTCTTTAGAGAGTCCCAAATGGTTACGCTTTACTACCTCTTCACACTACCGCTGGCCAAAAAGCAAGATGAGTTAGAGTGCCTACAGTACAAGGAGACTGGTGGCAATACTCTTTCTGAACTGCCAATTAGCTGCCTGAGCCAATAATGCTTATGAATAGCTACTACTCTCCTCCCTTGAAAGAGGACAGCAGATAGCCATCTCACATGTGCTACCTTGCAAAGAGAATGTGTATGATGAGCTGGGAAAACCAAGGATGCACAGCGATTACAGCTGAACCACCTCCAGGAAAAACAAAAGATGTAGAAAGAGCAGAATTCTTTCTCACATGGCAGAAATGCACGAGTGAACCCGTTTTCCTGCTGCTACGTGGGCTTTACAGCTAATGAAAGCTCATGTTATCTTGATGCCCTTTTCTTCTCTATGTGGAGATGGCAGAAAACGCTGAGGCTACTACACAAGCTATAACTTCTCACTGTATTTTTTCTGTGCAATATAACCCTGTGAGCTGGGTTCTGTGCCATGTGTGGACAGACAACACCCCATCTGCGCTGCCTCTGATCTGACAGCAGAGAGGGGCTGCTGCTACTGCAGGAAGACCCTCCTGCTTGCAGAAGGTGATGTGATTTGCTCAGCAGTGGAAGACGGGAGTGGTTCAGAATTAAACACGAGAAAAAGATTGATATAAAACTTTGGGAAAGGAGCCAAATATATGACGGGAAACATATCCTTTATGTCTGTATAGTGAAATGCTAAACTTGGTTGTTGATTGCAGTAGACACTTCTTTACACTCATCTAGTCAATCACTCTT